AGACATACCACGGCCCGCTTGATCAGGGCAATCATTCCAACTGAGACTCCCCTTGGTACTTTCAGGTTAAATCTAACTTGCAGATAAACATGTGTTCATATGTAAACACACGCACACTGTCAATGTTTATTCCTAGGGAAGGGCGGTGAGCTCTCTTTATGTTGAAGTGGTTTTAGTTCTGTTTAACATTATGGCTACTCCCAAACTCTCTGAAGCATCCCAAGTACTCGGTGAAGACTTCGCACCTCTAGGTGTTACTGCCTCATTTAACTCTACCCCTGTGGGATCACCCACCACATCCCTGTGCATTGAATTAATATTGTTTTCTGAGAGCTATGTCTTTAAGTTGTATGAAAAGGTATCCTCTTCTCCAGTGTTGTGGTGGTGCACACACCTGTAATCCCAGCACTCAGGGAGGCAGAGGCAGGTGGATCTTTGTGACTTCGAGGTCAGCCTGTCTACATAGTCCCAAGGCTATCCAGAGAAAGCCTATCTTGAAAAAACCAAAAACAAACAAACAAGAAAAAATCTCACGCACAGAGTGATACCAGGTGGCTTGGAAAAGTGGGTGCATATTGCAAAAATGGGCCAATCTCATATAAAAAAATACAAATAAAATGATTTTCCTCATGAGATGTTTTGTTACAGCTAAGCGCTGAATTCGGACTCAAATATTATCAATAAGGAAAGAAGAAACAAGATTGATAAGGTAAAAGCTTTCCCCAAACTTTGTATCTTTCATCTGAGAAAACAAAAACACATTCTTCTGGAACTGTTCACAGTGCGGTGGACCCAAGTTCTCACCATGATGGCCAGGAAGCAGAAAGACAGAGGGACCTTTGGAGCTGGCCTTAGATACTTTGTGGGTTCTTCTTTTTCCCACCCTTTATCCCCCAAAATTCTGTTTCACCCCTAACACTATAACACTAGATAGGAGAAAAACAAGGATAGAGGAATTTTTAAAAATCCATGAATCTTATTTCTTTCCTTTTTTTTTTTTTTTTACCTCAGCTATTAATAAACCACACCAAGCCTCCCTAAACAGCCAAAGTCCCTCTCCCCTCTCCCCCCCACATCCAGGGTTATGAAAAGTTCTCAGAATTCCAAATGTTGCACATAGAAACTACCTGCAGCTGGCGAAACCACACCTCTGCTAGAACACAAGGCAAATCACAGCTAGCTGCTGCAAACAGTCCTACACCTGGGATTAAAATGAAAGCACATTCTCATAATATTTCTGTGTTTTTTAAAGAAACCAAAGGGGGCTAGAGAGATGTCTCAGAGGTTAAGAGCACCGGGTACTCCTCCAGAGGTCCTGAATTCCCAGCAATCACATGGTGGCTCACAACCATCTATAATGAGATCTGATGCCCTCTTCTGATTTTCAGGTGTACATGCAGTCAGAACATTGTGTACATAATAAGTAAATCTTTTTTAAAAAGAAAGAAACCAAAATTCCAGATTAAAAAAAAAATGTCACTATAGACTTTAATCAAGGTATATTCTTCAAAACCATGCCCAGAGGTCCAGTTCCTCCAGTCAGAGGTCCACTTCCTCCAGTCAGGCCCCTCCTTCCATAGCTTCAACCAGTTGCTAATAGTCCATTCAATTTTGAATCCATCAGTGGATTAATATATTGATTAGGTAGGTCCAAGCTTTTACCAAAGAGCCTCAGGGGACAGTTCAGATCCAAACCATGGCATATCTGTAAGCATGGATGTCCTGGTAATAGTTAAGACATTATGAAGAGACTCTTGTGTCCCACCCTTTGGGAAGCAAACATTGAGACAATGGATCCTGAGCAGCTGGAGTTTCCTTAGAAGAATCATGCTGGGAGAACCCAGAAAGAGGGTTACACAGTTCTGACAACTTGTCGGAGAAGACTATTCTCTCAAGACAATGATGGACCAGTGATGGGTAGAACCACACCCTGATCAGAGGTGCTTAATTATATCTGTCTCTTATCTTATTTGGACCTTAACCTCATGTCAGGATTCCTCCCCCCTCCACCCCCCCGCAACAATGGGCTTAGCAGGCAGGTCACTAGAACTCTTTGTTGCTCTTCCTAATACAGCCACAGTGAATAAATTTCTTGCCTCTGTTTTCAGTCTCATTTGTCTATTTAACGGGCCCATCATGGGCAAGTGGCTTTGACCCTAACGCTGTATAACAAAGAGGGTGAGAGATCAGCAGTATAGAGAAGACCTAGGAGAACTCCAGAGAGGGAGTTGTTATTGACCTTCTTTCAAGAAGAATTATAGACACTCAGCCAATCTCCCAGAATTCCAACACCTCTGTCAAGGAACCTTGGCCCATTGAGCCATAAAGATGGAGAAGAGCCCAGGCACACCAGATAACAAAATGAAGGGTCATAAAGACCCTGGGATGATCGTAACAGTGTGGGATTTAGCATACCCAAGCATATCTTCTGACAGAGCCTGAAACATCAGTAATTTGAGTAAACAAACAGGTGGAAAAATCTGTCTAGGTTTTTGTCAAAGGCATGCTCAGGAGCCAAGGAGATGGCTTTCCAGTGAGGAAAGATGCTTTCTGACAAGTCCCACAAATTGAATTTGATCCTATAACCTGTTAGCCAGGGCCACATGATTTTGCCAAACTTCTTTTGGTTGAACTGGGACAATTCCAGTAACCACAGAAATTTGGTTTTTAGAAGTAAATGAACTTGTTTCTATAAATTCTAGATGGCCCTGACCTGTGGACCCCATAATGGCCAGACAGGAAAGTAATTAATCACCTGACTTTTTTTCAGATTATTTTATGTGTGTAAGTGTTGGGGCTTTGTGTATATATGTGTACCATGTTTGTGCAGAGGGCAGATCAGGGCATCATATCTCCTGAAATGGGAGCTATAGATAGCTGTGAGACATTAGATAGGTGCTGGGAATGAAAACTGGTTCCCTTGCAAGAACACGTGTGTGTTGTGATGTGCAAATACATACACACACATACAAATATACACATAAGATAAAAAATAAAATAAAAAATTTAAAGCAATTCCCAACCAAGGACCATGTATGGATATAACCTAGAACCCTTGATCGGATGTAGCCCATGGTAGCTCAGTATCCAAGTGGGTTCCCAGTAAGGGGAACAGGGACTATTTCTGACATGAACTCAATGGCTGGCTCATTGACTTCGCCCCCACACCCGAGGGAGAAACAGCCTTGCTAGGCCACAGAGGAGGACATTGCAGCCAGTCCTGAAGAAATCTGATAAGCTAGGGTCAGATGGAAGGGGAGAAGACCTCCCCTATCTGTGGACTTGGAAAGGGGCAGGGAGGAGATGACAGAGGGAGGGTGGGATTGGGAAGGAATGAGGGAGCGGGCTACAGCTGGGATACAAAGTTAATAAACTGTAAGTAATATTTTAAAAAGAAAAAAATATAAAGCAAGCTTAGTTTGAAGGGGCAGTGTGATGGTGGTGGCCCCTTATCCACCCATCCGCTGTTACAAAATAAGTAACAGTTGCTTAGCTTGCTCTTGGACAAGCTCTCTGTTTGGTTGGGGCAGTTCCTGAAACAAATGTCAACAATGCTTTCCCCCAATCTCTTGAGTCTTTTGCAAAGTTTTCCATTTATCTGAAGCTTTCCTAATGCCAGCTGTGTCTCGGAGACCTGCCTCATACTTGTCTGTTCCCTGACTGCCTAAAGAGGTAAGAAAAATGAAACGACAGACTCCGTAGGCCACACTATACGGGTCTTATTGACTATTTCATCTGGTCTGAGGATACCACACTGTGTCTTATGGAACTAAATGCATTCTGAGGTGGAAGCACCAGGATAAGAATTCTCCATACCGTAGCCCAGGAGGAACAGAGGGAAAACACAGAAATTTTTGTCTAGAAGATAAATAGAAGGTGATGGGCAAGAAAGGTCACATGGAGACACAGGTTAGACACCAACCCAGAGGGGCTTTCATGTCCAAAGAGCAGCAGGGTCAGTTTGACTCTGCATGTGCTTGTAGAAAGAGCTGGACAGTTTCTCTCTCTGCCTATGAATCAGGATGTAGCTCTCAAGCTACAGCTCGAGCACCTGCCTGCATTCGGCTGTGCTTCCTGCCGTGATGATAATGGACTAGACCTCTGAAACTGTAAGCAAGCCACCAATTAAATGTTTTCTTTCAGAAAGAAAGAAGGAGGTAGACAGCTAGCTGTATTTATATGCTGAGTCACATGCCTCTGCCTTCTACTCCACCCCAGGGCGGCTACAAGTGCCAAAGACAGCTGTGCAAGATTGACCTTCATATCTCTTTAACCTGCCAAACCTGAGGTGCTAGCAAATACCTGAAATTCTTGAAATTACCTTCCCTACTCATCCTTGATCTCCAGGACCCTTAGGGGCTAATGAATGCTAGCCTTCCATGTCAACCTCGACCTATTTTTTTTTAACCCCATCTTCCTCACCCTATTTGCCTATTGGAAAAGCTAGAATATCCAGTGTCAGGTGAAGATCTCTGCCCTCTGATAGTCTTTGTAACTATCTGGGTCAATGGGCTGAGTCGCTGGGTCCCTAGATACATTTTGTATGGGAAATTATTTATGTATCACATACTATATTATTATATTTTTTTTAAGAAGGTCTCTACCCAGGCTGTCCTCAAAACTTGATATGTAGCCAAGGATGCAAGAATGACCTTGAACTTCTGATCCTCTTACCTTCCAAGTGCTGGGATTCCAGGTGTGTGCCTATACAGTTTATGAGGTGCATGTTAGGTAAACACTCTACCAACCCAGCCATATCTCTAGACCCTTACCTGGTATGTTCTAAGAGCTGGAATTCCCACAGAAAGCCCAGAAAATCCTGTATTTACTTAGTACTCAAGCTGTGTACCCAGACCACAGCCCCGCCCTCCAGGGCCCAGCCTTTGTTCAGAGGACAGTGTATAGCTATGAGGCCAAGGTATTTCTCAATGTCTAAAGGTCAAGAGAAAGGGCACAGCTCAGAGTCCATATTCATCTGTTTCGTTTCTTTCAAAGTGACTTAATAAAGATCACTAGGAGGCTGGAGGCTACCTGAAACTGTCAGGAGACACAGGGAGACTACTACCAGGCAGAGCTGGAGGCAGCGAGGTGGGCAAAAGCTGACTGATGGTGGGAGCCAGTCCAGGACCCAGTAAAGCAGGGGAAAGAAAGGTGCATGGCCACAGTCTCTGGGGAAATTTTTTGTTGTTGTTGCCCTTTGAACAGATCCTCCATGGGGGTTCCTGAACAGTGACTGCCGAAGCAAAGCATATCTCTCCTGGAGGAGGGAGAAGCCTAGGACAAAACAAATGTTTCTTGTGGTTTTATGAACATCCTGGATCACCACTGTCCGTTCATGAAATTCATAATGAAGAGGCATACGATTGTTAAACCCACATGGCGGAAGCATGTATGGAACAGAAGGATGGATGATTGGCATTACACAGGTACAGACATGCCTTTATTAGCACATGAACTTCTCCCTGGAAGTGAGGTTGGAGATGTGACTCAGTTAATCTATACCTGCCTAGCATTCACGAAGCCCCAGGCTGAACCCCAACCTGGGCATACCACGTGAGCATAGTGGTGCATGCCTGGTAATTCTAGCTCCAGGAAACTGGGGTAGGAAGATCAGAAGTTCAAGCTACATAGTGAGTTTGAGGCAATAAATAAGCAAACAAAATCTTTCCAGATAGTGGTAAGATTAACATTAAATCTGGCTGAACACTCCTGAAGTATTAAATCTTCCTAGTAAGAAAGGTTTCTAGGGCTGGAGAGATGACTTGTCAGTAAAGACCCTTTTTGCTCTTACAGAGGACCTGATTCAGTTCCCAGCACCTGCATGGAAGCTCATAGTCATTAATAACTTAAGTTCCAGGGGATCTGATGCCTCTTTCTCTGGAACTGATATTTATGTTGTTTTTTTGAGACAAGGTTTTTCTGTGTAGCCCTGGCTGCCCTGGAACTCTACCTGTAGGCCAGGCTGGCCTCAACTCAGAGTTCCTGTATCTGCCTCCTGAGTGCTGGGATGTTAGAGGTGTGTGACACCACTGCCCAGATAGCTACTTTTCCTTTAAAAACGCAAAAAAGGCTTCAGTAAGATGGCTGTGGTGGCTTATATCTTTAATCCTAGCATTCGGGAGGCAGAGGCAGGCAGGTGTCTGTGAGGCCAGCCTGGTCTACAAAGCTAGTCCAGGACAGCTAGGACTGTCATACAGAGAAACCTTGTCTCAAAACAAACAAAAAAGGCTTCAGTGGTTGGATTTGAGTAATTTTTAGGAAAGGAGTTTCAGGAACTGTTACTAGTAACTTGTCTCTAGAAAAGTCTAGCGTTCTTGTTCTCATTTCCCTGGGTGGGAGAAGAAGGCAAGGCGTTGGACATGAGCCACTGCTTTCCCACTCCTGGCTTTGTTCAGAGCATGTAACCCTGTGAGCCTCAGGCCCGTTCTATGTTAACCATAACCTTCAGAGTTAGAATTGCTTGTGAACATTCTAAGACTTTAAATGACTGGCCAATCAGCTGCAATTATTGCAGCTGTTGTAAGAATCCCATCTTCATAGTCTCTAGAGAAAGAAGCAAGACTGGCCAGCATTCATGTTTGTTCTGGATAAGAATCTGCCCCCTGCTCTCTCCTCCCTCACTTCACTTGGGCTTTGAAGGCTTCACTGGCCTCTTAAAACACCTGTAATCCCAGCACTTGGGAGAAAGAGACAGGTGGATCTCTGTGAGTATGAGGCCAGCCTGGTCTACAAAGCAAGTCCAGGACAACCAAGGTTACACAGAGAAACCCTGTCTCAAAAAACAAACCAAAGAAAAACAAAACAAGATTCTACCTCCCTCATCCTTCTTACCTGACCAACCTCAGCTTAGAACCATAGTCTTAGAATCCTGGAAGAGACTTTTTTTTTTCTTCCTCCCACTATTTTCTCTCTCCATATCACATTCTTATGACCACATACACTGATGGATCTGCTTGCTCTCCTTTCCTCTCTCCACCGACCTGCTAATCTCAATGAAGACAGGGGCAGACATTTCTGACTCATCGCTACATCCTCTCCTCTAGAGCCTGATCTAATAATGCCTTCCTCATGCTAGAAGCTCCAAAAATATCTGAGCAGTGGTGACATATGCCTTTAATCCCAGTACTTGGAAGGCAGAGGAAGATAGATCTCTTAAATTCAAGGTTAGCCCCACTCTAAAGAACAAGTTCCAGGACAGCCAGAGCTACACAGAGAAACCCTGTCTCAAACAAAACAAGTTGCTCCAAAAGTGTGTGTTGAACAAGTGACTAACCATCTCACTTTCCCTTCTCTTGGTGTGGCAGTGCGTAGCCCAGAGCCGTGTGACACAGAGAGGTGGTTGTCAGACTCTGTGATGTGTCCTTACTTTGTTCTCTTCCTCAGCTGAGCTTCCCCCAGGCTAATCCTGATGTCTTTCCCAATTCCCTGGCTCCAACAGGCTGGCATGCTTCCTGCAGCTCACAGGGGACTTCCCTGCTGCCTTGTAGTGTTCCTAGACTTTGAAGCGTTCCTCCCACCTTAGGGACCATGCACTAGTTGACACTAATTTGTGTCAAGTGGTACTGTCTCAGGGGGACTCGGTTGAGAGCCATTTATTTCACACCTCTGCATTAAATGCCAGGTACTTAATATCAAGCACAATACAAAAGTGGATGAGACGTAGGACTTCCTGACCTTCAGCGGTCTGGTGGGGAGACACATTATTATAGCATTAGGTAACAAGTTTGATGGCTGATATCAATCATCGATTCAACAGGATCTAGAATTATGCAAGTTTCCGGGTCTGTCTGCAAGGGAGAGTCTCGATTATGTTAGTTGAAATGGGAAGATCCACCCACACGGATGGCGCTACAGGCTGGAGTGGAGGCTGCATAAAAAGAAAAGAGCGAGCTGAGCTTCCGAGTCTGTTTCTCTCTGCTTCCCGGTTACAGATCCTGTGTGACCGGCCGCTCCAGGCGCTTGCTGCCTTGACCTCCCTACCCTGACCGTCTGTACCTAACACTGCGGGTGAAGATAAACCTTTCTTGAGTTGTGTTTGTGTACCTATTCTTTCTTTTTAAAAATTAATCTATTCATGTGTTATAGCTAATATATTCTAGTCAAACTCGTCACCCCATGAAGCTGCATCTGTAGGTATTTTTTTACAACCATGAGAAAAGTAAGTTCTGCAAAGGTCAAAGATTTGCTACACAAAAGAAAAGGCAGACAGTGGGGAAAAATTCTTATCCAGCTGGAGAGAAAGGAGGACCAAAGAAGGCTTAACAGAGGAGATGATCTGAGTCAACGGTCTTACAAGCAGAGGGGGCAGCCTCAGCCCTCACATGGAACTGAAATGTGGTATTTTATAGACATGTCAGGATGTGCTGGTGTATTCAGTCAGAGGTATGTGCTGGGTCCAGATCAGGGAAGGCTCTGGAGTCATGGTTGGAAGCTAAATGAGTAGCAGCAAAAGGTCACTGCAAGTTTTAGGCAGGGATTGGAGACAGAAGATACTGGATTTGAGGAAGACACACTTGGAAGCACGCGGAGCCCATGAGGTATAATGAGGATCTGACCCCATTTGGTGAACTCAGAGAGGCAAGGCTATAAAGGGATTTAAGAGCCTTGAAGAGGAAAAACTGGCAGGACCTGATTACTGATTCAGCATGTGAGAGGCATAGGAGGGAGGGTGGCAAAGACCGATGATGGCTTAGGACCCTAGGGAAGCAGACAGGAAAATGGATGAGGTGCTACTTAAGGTGGAGCTAGGTTGAAATGGAAGTTCTAGTCACTAGAATGAGGTGGAAACTTGAGAGCAACAGACTGATTTTTAGAGTCATTGGCTTGAAAGTGACTAAAACTAATGAAAGAGAAAGCCAACCCTCAGGAGAGTTGGGAGCCATGGAGAGGCAACTTGGGGAGAGGAAGTAAGCAGTCTCTAGTGACCTATCCAGTGACTGTTATGTTCCCACTGCCTTCAGACAGGCCCTCATCTTGGATACCAAGCTCTAATACGCTTTGCCTGTATCGATTTCTTTACTCTTCTACAAAATCCCCAGAAGTAACTTGCTCATATTGCAACTGTTAGTCAGTAAGTAGAGACAGGCATCCTGTGGGATGGAGTTCTAAGGAGCAGGGGTGGATGGTGGTTTACGTGAGCCTCGTGAGTCAGTTGCTAAATATTTCTTTCAATTCTCCCTACCTAGTCTCACAGACAAAAAGGCAGCCACAGTGTTGACTGTTAACTACAAAGAGATGTGACAAATTTTGAAAGAGGAAAAAAAATCACGTCTAGATTTGAACAAGCTCTTCAGGAATTAATTTTGGATTCCCCTGGGAGCTCCTTCGGAACTGAATGAATGTTGCTGAGAAATGTTTGCATCATGTCTATGAGCACACTTTGTTCTGGGAGTTGGGCATGAGTGGGAGAGATGCTCATAATACACACAGACGTTCCAAGGAAGGGTATGCAAGCTTTGAGGGCCATCCCTCTATTCACCTCACGACGTCTGAGCTTAAATCGTATGTTAAGCTAAATTCTTAACGTTCCAGTTAAGAATTTTATTACCATGTTGCTATAGGAGACAGATCTGCATCCGTTATTCATACTATCTCCGTGACAAAAGACCTGATGGAAGCAGCTTAAGAGATGAAGGGTTTATAGTGGATACAGTCCCTCATGAAGAAGGCATGGCGGTGGGGGTGCTGTCAGGACCCCTCACATCTCTATGACCCAGGAAGCAGAAAGACCGGGGCCAGAAGGAAGTCCAGACTATGAACTTCAGCGTCTGCCTCCAGTGATCAATTTTCTGTCAGCCAGCTCTCTCTCCCTCTCTCTCTCCTGTTTGTTTGTTTGTTTGTTTGTTTAGTTTTTTCCAGACAGGGTTTCTCTGTGTATCCTTGGCTGTCCTTGCCTGTCCTGAGCTCTCTTTGTAGACCAGGCTGGCCTCAAACTCACAGCGATCTGCCTGCCTCTGCCTTCCAGGGTGCTGGGATTAAAGATGTGCACCACTATGCCTGGCTCAGCCAGCTCTTGAAAAACTTTCATAGTCTCCCCAAACAGTGTCATCACATTAGGGCCAAATACACGTAGGTGATATTTTTATATCAAAACCATGACAAGATACATGACTCACTTTATGGACTCTTTTTTTTTTTTTACTTTTTTATTAGTTATTTGTGAATTTCACAGCATGCACCCCAATCCCACTCATCTCTCCATCCTTTCATATCTGCCTTCCACCCTTGAAACCTCCCCACAAAAAGAAAATAAAAAAATAAAAATAAACAAAAACAAACCAAAAGCATCTCACCATGGAAGCTACAGCATGTCACGGTGTGTCACACAGAATAACCTTTTGCCTAAATAGTGTTCCTTACAAATGTTCGTTGCAATGAGTCATTGGTCTGGTTTGAGGCCTCTGGCTTCTGCTACACTTTCAATACTGGATCCTCCAGTATTGGAGGACTCATCTTGAATATCCTGTTATTGCCCTTTGTCATGGAGATCCTGCAGCTTTGGATTGGCAGGATCCACCCCTTCATGTGCTCCAGCAGTTCATAGATGGGTGGGTCCACTCAAAGACCTGGATCCGGGCCTGGGTGGTAGCTGAGTTGGTCAGCTCGTCAGCTCTCCTGTACCTGTGCCACCAGGGCCAGCTCTCCCACTATGCCCAGACTATTCATTTTATAGAAAGCCTTTTCTGTACATTTTGGTGACATTTCATTTTCTGTAATTATAACTAAGGCCAGATAATGATGGCCTGTTACACAGCTACTAAAAATAAAGTATACAATCTTTTTTAGTTAGAGTTTTATTGCTGTGAAAAAGACACCATGACCACAGAAACTCTCATAAAGGAAAACATTTAATTGGGGCTGGCTTACAGTTCAGAGTTTTAGTTCATTATCCTCATGGTATGGGAAGCATGGCAACAGGCAAACATGATGCTGGAGAGGTATCTCAGTTCTCCATCTGGATCTGCAGGCAGCAGAAAGTGACAATGACAGGCTGGCCAGCCTTGAGCTTCTGAGATCTCAAAGCCCACCCCCTAGTGATACATTTTCTCCAACAAGGCCACACTCCTAATAGTGCCACTCCCTATGGACCTATGGGGGCCATTTTTATTCAAACTACCACACAATCCTATTGTCCTATTGAGGTATCCATGTAGGTATGGAATCATCTAGAATAATTGTATATGCCTGCTAGTATGAGTGTGTAGCCGAGAATTCGATTGTATATTAGAAATAATATCTTTACTTATAAAATAAGTATCTACCCACAGGCTATGGGATACTCTTCAAGGACATGACCCTAAGGATCTGAAGACCCTTCACTAGGTCCCACCTCTTACAGGTTCCATCACTCCCCAGTAGTGTAAAGTTGAGGACCTACCCTTCAACACATGGGCCTTTGGGAAACATTCCAGATTGAGAATATAACTGTCAGTACCAACTTCTGAGCTATGCCCTGACCCACTCCTAGAAATCTATATTTGATCTTGAAACAGATGTATAGAATCATCTAGAACTTGCCAACATGCAAAACACCAGACTTCTTGCAACCCCACTGCACAGAGGTATGCTTCTGACGATCCCAACATAAAATCAAATATCTCTCTTTATAGCTCCACTTAAAACCCAAATAGGAACCTCAAAGAGAATTCCTGGTTCTATCCTCATCTGCACCATTTTTCTCCTATCCCTGCCTTAGAAAGTGACATCAACATATCACACAACAGAGAAGGGATGGGGCTGGAGAGATGGCTCAGTGGCTAAGAGCACTGATTGCTCTTCCAGAGGACCCAAGTTTGATTTCCAGCACCACGTGAAAGCTCACAACCATCTGTAACTCCAGTTCCAGGAGGTCAGCCATCCTCTTCTGCCCTCCATAGACACTAGGCATGCAAGTGGTACACAGACATACATTCAGGCAAAACGCTCATTTACATATAAAAATAAAATGAACCTTTGAGGGAAAAGTGTTGTGGGTATACACCAGAGAAGACTATTCAGACATGATGCTAAGCCAATAAAACATCTTAATTACCCATCTGGCGACTACACTGGGTGTTTAGGATTCTGCTGTAACCCCAAGGGTGAGCTTTTAAGCACAAAAACCATGTTCTGGGTTGACACACTTCAGTTAAGAAAAACAGTTACCCAGAAGCACAACTACAGAAGTCAAAAAGCAAGGTTAGTACACTTAGAGATTTTTTTTTCTGAGAACTATGGATTTTGATGGATTAGGTTTTTGTTTTTGTTTCAGCAGATAGTACTGTCTATATGCTGAGTTTTGTGGCCCTGAGTGGTACTTCCATCATGGAGTTAGTTGTACTAAGGTCTGGGGCCCTGACACAAAAGAAAACAAGGAGAGGGAATTATCAGTAAGAAAGAAGAGTAAATGACTAGAGAATGGGTGTGCTGTGTGTCTGGGCTTAGAGTCCAATATGGTAGCTTTGTAGGAGATGACAGGACAGCAAAGGAGCCACCTGTGAGTGGGGGCAGGATGTGGTAGTTTTCAGAAACACATGTGCATGTGATGGCCGGAAGCAGTGTGGCATCAACCTTAATTGATCTCACTGGTATTCTGGGCACAGCCTTCGCTAATGCTGCACTGAGAGCATCCTGCAGTGGTTGACACTTCCTCCAGATGCTAAGGTTGGAAACAATGCGTCTCTTGTATCTGCAAGTGCTTCCAACCCCTTGTCATTATGACTGTAAGTTAGTTGTGGCTGATGGCGACTCAAGATCCTGCTCTCTCCTGGGACTCACACTCCAGCAAACAGGGTTATGACTCCCTAAGACCAAGCGGCCCAGAATTATGAAGGTTTGGCTTCTTAGTCCTCATATCAAGGAGGGAGAACAGGTTGAAACTGGTCTACAGTTGAGACTACAGCCAGGCCTGGTTCTGTGATTTCAATGACTTGCCTTTCTGAAAGGTGATCCTGAAATTAATCCCTGTGATGAGGCACTTAGGGCTGAGAGCAACCTAACCAGGGTATTTAGAGTTGGGGCCTTTGGGAGATGAATAGGATTAGGGGCTGGTCTT